GGGTGCTGAGGTGCGGGGCCGGGTGCCGGGCGCTGTGCCGAGGGGCGGCGGGTGCCGGGGGCGGGGCCGTGCAGGGCGCCTTGGTCCGGAGGCGGTGGCGCGAGGCGGGCCGATGGGTGGGCGGGCCGAGTGCCGATGGTGGGCGGGGGTGGCGGTGGCGTGGTGCCGAGGGTTGGGGCGGGGCGGGGGCGGATGGTGGTGGCGGGCGAGTGCCGAGGGTGGGCGGGCGGATCTCTTCCCCCGCCCGTACCTGTGAAGAGGTGGCCGCTGTGCTTCCGCAGTTTCTGGGCCTGCGCGTAGAGGCGGCGCGTGCTGCGGCGGGAGCCGGGCGCCAGCCACTGGCGCAGCGCCTTGAGGGCCGCCCGGCTCTCGGGGGCGCAGAACACCACGATGGGGTAGTACTGCACGTAGTTGAGGCGCTCGATCGCTGACGGGGTCACGTCCAGGAGCGCGTGCTTGTCCTGGCCGGGGTGCGGGCGGGGGGGTGGCGCAGGACAGAAGGAGAAAGAGACCGTGGAGACGGAAACACCCGTAGACGGGAAGACCAGAGAGAGAAAGACGAGGACAAAGAGTCCGGGGTCAGAGTGGACCCCGTCCTGTCGCACCCGCAGGCCAGCACGCTACGGGCGGGGCTGGCACATCCCAGCCGCGGCGCCGTGGATTCCAAAGCGCCAACTGGAGTCTGCCTCTGCCCAGGGCTTGCTGTTGTGTGGCTTTGTCTCCCCGGGGCCTCCCACCTAACCACGCCTCTAAAGGGGCCCCGTGGGAGACCACGCTTGTGGGCGTGGAGTGAGAACAGGTCAGAACATGCAGTGGGATGCCCCAGCCTCAGTTTCCCCATCCGTGCAATGGGCCTGCTTACTTTCTCTGCGATCACCCGCACGGTGTCCAGTTTGATGATCTTCGAGGGGCTGTCTATCCTCAACATGCTCTCTGTGGAGGGGACAGGCGACATCAGCATCAGGGGGGCGGCCCACTCGCCCCTCAAATTCATGGCAACCTGCCCTTCCCCTGCTCAAGAACCAACCATAGCTCCCCACCGCCCTTGAGAGGAATTCTAACAGCGGCAGCAGTGCCCATCAGCCACATGCAGACACTGCGCTCAGCAGAGCACGAGCGCTCCAATTGCTCCACGTCCTCGCCAGCACTTGGGATCTTCTGGGTTTTGTTTTGTTTTGTTTTTTTACTTTTTCAACCATCTAAAATATTTTTTAACTTTTTCAACCATCTAAAATATTTAAGTACCATTGTTAGCTTCTGGGCCCAAAACACAGAAGGTGGACCAGATTTGGCCTCAGAGCTGTAGATTAGATTGTCAACTCCTATTCTAATTGTTTTTGTAGTTGTTCTTTTTTTTTTTTTTTTTTTTGAGATGGGGCCTTGCTACATTGCCCAGGCTAGTATCGAACTCCTGGACTCCAATGATCCTCCTGTCTTGGCCTCTTGAGTAGCTGGGACTAAAGGTGCCTTCCATCATGCCCAGCTAATTTTTCTGTTTTGTGTTTTTTTGTAGCAATGGGGCCTTGCTATGTTGCCCAGGCTGGCCTTGAACTCCTGGCCTCAAGCGATCCTCCAGCCTTAGCCTCCCAAGTCATTGCAATCATAGGTGCGAGCCACTGCACCTGGCTCTAGTTGTTCATTTTTGGTCTCCTCTCGGGACCTTGCCTGTCCTGTTCATTGGTATAGTTCAATAAACACCTCTTGAACACTCGAAGAAATGGGTGACACCCTGTCTCAATTGGCAATGGGTACTTGGCAATCTGTGTTAAGAAGGATTCTGAGGTTCTACCCAGACAAACAATGCCAAGATTGAGCATGTCTAGCCTGTGCATTGGAAAGGGAGCTGGTGGCCCATCTGCCTCATATCTGCCATCATTGTTCTAACTCCTTCCCCCTCAAAGAGCGTAAGTGAAATGATTGACCAACAAGGTTGCCAGGGGACCTGGTTTCTCACCTGCAATTTCGAATTGGTCGGGCATTTCAGCAGTCAGCTTCTGCATAGCGATGTCTGCCACGGGTCCAAGGATCACCACTGGGCGCTTGAAGCTGGCTGAGGGTCAGAGAAACAATGGCAAGAATCAGAATCCCACGTGCAGCAAAGACTGCCAGCAATGTCGCCACTTCTTATATAGTAATAGCCTATGTAGGCGGGTGCATGGCTGCAGGGCCAAAGACTACAACTCCCAGGCTGCCTTGCAACTAGGGGTGGCCATGTGACTGAGTTCTGGCCAATGGGATGCAAGCAGAATTGACATGCGAAAGTGTGGTTTATCCGTCTTCAATCTCTTTCCCCCCTGGCTGAAAGGTGGATGTGGGGGCACCTCCACCGTTCTGGGCCACACAGCAAGGCAGGAAAACAAGATGGGAGGAGCAAAGTTCTGCAGTGACATGGTCACAGCTCACTGCAGCCTCGAATCCTGGGCTCAAGCGATCCTCCAGCCTCAGCCTCCTGAGGAGCTGAGACTACAGGTGCCACCACCACCATGCCTGGCTAATTTTTTCTATTTTTAGTAGAGATGGGGTCTTGCTATGTTGCCCAGGCTGGTCTTGAACTCCTGAGCTCAAGCGATCCTCCAGCCTCAGTCTCCCAGAGTGCCGGGGATGCAGGCGTGAGCCACCGAGCCCGGCTTATTTTTCTCTTTTTTTAGGATTATACACATGCCTTGTATTATACTTCTGTTGGAAGTAGGAATTGACTTTTAAGGAATGGACCCCCTTCCGGTCTCTCTGCTCCCCCTAAAACAGCCCAGAGTGGGTGTTTTGGTGGAAGGAGGGCGGCGAGGCCCGTGCCTTGCAGTGGCTGCAGGTTGGTGACCGTGGGCGCCAGGACCTCCCGCGCCCCCCGCCCCCCACGCCACACCTTCTCGAAGCACCACTCGCTCGTAGGGCGGGTAGTGCCCCTGCCGGGTCAGGGCCGACAGGTCCTCGCGGCTCCTCTGGGTGGTCCTCTTGGCGCCCCGGCGAAGCCCTCGCAGCCGCCAGAACTCGGCCCGAGCGCTGGAGCCCGCCGAGGAGCCAGGCACGGCCCCCACGGCCCGCTGGGCGGCCTCGAGGCTGGCCAGCTGCTCCGCCCTGGAGAGAGGGGATAGCTGAGCCCCGGGGCCGGCAGAGTGACAGCCCCGAAGACGTCCCCGTCCTAATCCCTGGGACCTGGGCGTGTCCCCCACTGGCCGAAGGGGCTCTGCAGGTGGACCGGGTTAAGGCTGCTGGGACGGGAGGTCACCCTGGATGACCGGGGGCCCAGTGTCAGCTCAGGCTCCCCCCACCAGGGGCGGGAGGGGGGGCAGAGAGACTGGAAGGCGCTCGCTGCTGGCGCTGGGGGGAGGAAGGGCCTGGGCGGAGGGAGGCGGGCGGCCGCTGGACAGACGGGAGACGGTTCTGTCCTGGAGCCCCAGGAGGGAGTGGCCCTGCCACGCCCTGATTCTAGGACTGTCCTCCAGTCAGAGGGTAAGTCTGTGTCCTTTAAAGACACTTAGTGGGAGGCTGAGGCGGGCAGATTGCTCAAGGTCAGGAGTTCAAAACCAGCCTGAGCAGGAGTGAGACCCTGTTTCTAAAAATAGAAATAAATTAATTGGATAACTAAAAATATATAGAAAAAATCAGCCCGGCATGGTGGCGCATGCCTGTAGTCCCAGCTACTCGGGAGGCTGAGGCAGGAGGATCGCTTGAGCCCAGGAGTTTGAGGTTGCTGTGAGCTAGGCTGACGCCACGGCACTCACTCTAGCCTGGGCAACAAAGTGAGACTCTGTCTCAAAAAAAAAACAGACACCAAGTGTGTGGTCGCCTGTCGCAGCACCGGCACAAGCCAATACCCTGTGGGCCTCTCGGGAGGGACCCAGCAATGCCGCTAAGCGGCGCCCCCGTGCCCATTTCCAACGGGGAAACTGAGGCTGGGGGTGGGGAGCGGTCCTCACCTGCTCTGGTTGGGAATGACGCCCCGCTCCTGCTCCCGGAGGTCGCGACCCATGCGCACGGCCAGCCAGTGCCCGCCTCGCGCTGGGCCCTGCCCGGAGCCCGGGTACAGCGTGTCCAGCACGTGGAAGACGTCGCCGCGGGTGAAGCCCAGGCCGGACGGGGGGCTGGGCTCCAGCTCGAAGTGCGTGCGGATGTAGAAGGAGTCGCCCACGCGCGACTGCACCATCTTCTGGAAGACTGGGGGGCGGGGAGGCCGCGTGAGCCGCCTGGGTCCCAGCCATCCCCGGAGGAGGGCCTGGCCGCGGGGCGCCACCCTGGGGGACGCGGGGAGCTGTCCGGGCGGGGGGCGGGGGCGGGGTGGCGGGTGCACAGCCGCGCCCGCCCGCCCGGCCACGCTGACCACCGGGCCACACAGCCCGTGCTGGGGCCGCGCCGCGCACGCTGGTGCACGCACTTACTGTCCTGCTTGCGCTGGGTCACCAGCTCCACGTCCTCGCCCGGCGGCAGCGCCAGCAGGAACTGCGCGGCCTCCTCCCGCGTCAGGTTCTGGAAGGGCGTGCCGTTCACCTGCCGAGAGACGCGGTGGGACGCGGGGCCTGGGGGCTGGAGGTCCCAGAGCCCCTCCTGCGGAGCCGCCACGGGCTGGCAGCTGCGGGGGCTGGCGGACGGGGTCACCCTGCGGCCGCGTGACGCCGTGACACAGACCGCCGACGTCCCCGGCGGGTCTCGGGGACGTCACTGCGGAGACGTGGGGACGGGCGCACCGCACCGGGCTGGGGGCTTTGTGATCCGCTGGGAGGAGTTGGGGCGCAGCCGCAGGGGCGCGGCAGGGGCAGCGTCACACACGTCACTCTCAGGGCCTGGACGTGGGTGTCAAGGTTGGACTCCCACAGGCAGACTCTGGCGGGGACTTTGTTTTTCAAGTCATGGCCTTTGGGCAGCGTGGGGACACATCTTCACCCAGCCACGGCGGGGACAACACGGCATGTGGCGGGAGGTGACTCCGCCGCAAAAGCGGGACTGGGACTGCAAGGTGGAGACAGCCCGGCCGGGGAGGGCCGGGACGGGACCGGTGGCCGAGGAGCGGCGGGGACAGGCCGGGGTGGGACGCAGAGGGGACAGGAACGGGGACAGAGTGAGGGGCCGTGGGCCCTGGGGACGGACAGCACGGCGCGGGCGGGAGGGCAGGGCCTGGGCGAGGCCGCGGCACAGACGGGGAGACAGTGACCGTGGGGACGTGGGCACCGCGAGGTCACGGTCCCCTCCCGATGGATGACATGGTCCCCACCCAGCCGGAGAGGTCAGGACACGGGCAGTCGGGGGGCACGCGAGCGTCGGACGCCCCCGGGCGGGGCCTGCGGGGACGGCGCACCTGCAGGATCTGGTCGCCCTCCTGGACCCGCGCCCCGGCGGCCGCGCTGCCCGGCTGCACGCCCGACACGAAGATGCCCACGTCGTTGCCACCGGCCAGGCGCAGCCCCACGCTGGCGCCCTTCGGGAAGCGGACCACCCGCGTGTCCGGGCTGTACCTGCGGGGGCAGCCAGGGTCGGGCCAGAGTCGGGGACAGGGCGGCGCCGCCCCGCCGGCCTCAGTTTCCCCATTCGACACCCTGGGGCGGGAAGGCAGGGTTATGCTGATGGCGGTGGCAGCCCTGGGGTGTGGGGCTTCCTTCCGGGGACGTACCCACGGTCCTCCAGGCTCTGGCCGCTGGGCACCCGGCGGATGTCGCGGTCCCTGGGCGAGTCTGAAACGAGCACGCCAGGCTTTCCCCCAGCTCGCTGCCTCGGCCCAGCCCCCAAGCCCTCCCTTAGGGGGTCCTAAAATGCCACTCAGAGCACCGTCACCCACCTCTGTTCCTTCTCAGGAAACCAAGGCTGACCTCTGAGGCTCATGCCAACCTCCCCCCACTCTACCTGGAACAATGTTGCCAGCAGGGATCAGAAAAACTGGGTGAGAGGTGCTCAGAGTCACTGCCCACCTGCCCTGCACTCACCTGGTTCCGAGACCGTTCTAGAATCCAGTGACCTTTCCCGCCGAGGCCGGGGGCTCTCTCTGGTGGGGAACAGATTCAGAGTGAGGCAGAGGGTGGGAGTTGAGGGATGATTATTTTTAATTTGCCTGCCCTGGGATTTCAACCCCCGAGCTGTGGGGTGGCTGAGTCAAGTCTGCTGCACTCAGGCCTGACTCCAACCAGGGTGACAGGGTCACTCTGTTGCCCAGGCTGGAGTGCCGTGGCATCATCACAGCTCACTGCAGCCTCCAACTCCTGGGCTCAAGCGATCCTCCTGCCTCAGCCTCCCGAGTAGCTGGGACTACAGGCGTGCACCACCATGCCTGGCTAACTTTTCTATTTTTAGTACAGACAGGGTCTCACTCTTGCTCAGGCTGGTCTCAAACTCCTGGCCTCAAGCGATCCTCCCACCTCGGCTTCCCAGAGTGCTGGGATCACAGGCATAAGCCGCCTCGCCCGGCCAGCTGCGGGAGTTTTGAGGAATGTGCTAGAAATACAGGACTGTACCCTCAAGGCTACCCCTAGTATTAAAAGGGACGCCCCATGCCCCCCCCCACACCTGACAGGCCTGGCTGACGGGCACGTACCCGGTGGAGTCGGTCCCGCTGGCCTCTGGGCTCCTCTGCCCGTGCGGGGGTGGCGGGGGGACGTGGGACGGCGGGGCCTGCGACAGCTCCGAGCCGAGGTCCGAGATGTCTGCGGGGGAGAGCGCATCTCATCAGCCGCCAGCACCGCTTCCAGGCCGGACCCATTTCACAGAAAGGTCCATCGAGGCCACAGTCCAAGGCGTGGTTAGAAGGGAGGTTGCCGCCCTGGCCTGCTGTGTGGCCTTGGGCAAGTTCCTATCCTTCTCTGTCCAGTGGCCGCCAGGCTTACTGGCCCTACTCGGTGCGGCCTGGGTCGCCCACCTTGTCCCCGGGCTCGGTTCCAGCCCAGGCAGGGCCTGGCTCCCCGACCTCACCCTCCAGCAGGGAGCTGTCGCTGTCGCTGACGGCCGGCGGGATGTTCACCAGGAACTGCCCTCGGTCCCTCAGCACCAACAGGCTCAGCTTCCCCTCCGACTGCTCGATCAGCCGCCGCGTGTCGCTCAGGGACAGGTTCTCGCTGGACACCCCGTTGATCTGAAAGGGACCGATGGCCGAGAGGGAGAGAGTTCACGACAGGCAAGGGCACTAGACACAGATAGCTTGGGTGGGGGGAGACTAGAAACACACATTCCCTGGGGGTAACTAAAAACAGACACTTCTTAGGGAAAGTGCCAGAACCAATTCCTGAGGTGAGTGGAGACCACACCAAGAACTGACTGTCCACAGATTTCTAGAAACAGACAATTTTCTAAAACGGGTAGGGGTTACGAGGGAAGACAATTAGAAACATGTTGACTCTTCTTTTTCCCAAGAAGTGGAAATTTCTCGGGGACACTAGGAACAGATCTGAGGGTGACATTATAGACAATTCTAATCCGGCGAGAGGGAGTGGCTACTTACAGATGCTAACAACATGCTCTCGAGGGGGGCCTAGAAACAGACATCTGAAGGTGGATTAGAAACACACAATTCCCAGAAAGAACTTAGGGTCACCTCTGCAAGCCCCAGGAATCCATTTCTAACATTTTCTTTTGGGAATGTCTGTTTTCAGGACCCCGGGGAATGTGAGTTTCCAGCGCCCCTACCAAGTTACTGGTCTAGTGTCTGCCCCAATATGCTAGAAACAGACGATTCCTCGGGGTCACTAGAAACAGACAACTTTGCAGAGACATGAACCAATCAACTGAAAGGAGTTTGGAAATCAGACAGGAGGAATGGCTAGAAACAGATTTTCAGGGGCGAAATCTAGAAAGATCTGGGGCTGTCTGGGCTGTTAGCATCCAACCACCCGGGGTGGGTCCGAAACTCAGCATGGCAGCCAGCTGGCCGCATGGTTCTGACGCCAGCTCGAGGGTACAGCAAAAGGACACTCTCCAAGGGGGTACTAGAAACAGACATTTTGCAGCGGATTAGCCTCAGCTGGGGAGAGAGGGGGGTTTGTGCCCCGCCCTCTTCAACCTTTCAGAAACAAGCCGCAGCCCAGAGGCGAGTGGTTGGGGCTTGGCTCTGCCGACCTGGCCGTGTGACTCGGTGGCCCCACCTGCCCCCACCGGCTGGGGAGAGGCCCGGGCGCACCTGAAGGATGAGGTCCCCTTCCTGCAGCCCGCGGTGCTGGGCGGCGAGGCCCGAGTCCGTGATGTGCTTGATGAAGATCTGACTGCCCAGCTTGACCCCGAAGTCTGTAGGAGGGAGCGGGGAAACTGAGGCAGGACTGCAGGGACTGGAGCCTGGGGGCGCCCTCCTGCGGCGAGCGAGCGTGGGCCGGGGCGCTCACCTTCGCTGTCCCTCCTCCGCACCAGCACCGACCTCACCGGCTTCATCAGCACGTCCTGCCGCGGCAGCCGCTTGAAGCCGGACACCAGGGCCAGCCCGTCGGCCTCGGAGCCCCCGCCCGGGCTCCTGCGCCCGCGGCTGCTGGCCCGGCCCCGGCGGCCAGCCCTCGGCCTGCGCGAGCGCCCGCCCCAGGACTGGCCGGAGCCGCTGGACGAGCCGCCCTCGTAGCCCCGGCCCTGGTCCGCGTCCTCCTCGCCCGAGCCCCGGCGGCCGGCGGGGCTGGCCCTGGCGCTGGGCAGCTGCACCTTCCGAGGCCGCTTCACCGTCTGTGCGGGGCGGACAGGGGGTCGGCTGGAGGCAGGGCACAGGGAGGCCGGCTGGAGGCCGGGGACAGGGAGGCCGGCGGCCCGGGCAGCCCTCCCGCCCGCAGCCCACTCACGATGTTGGCCATCCTCGTGCAGGTCTTGAGTATCTGAATGGCAAAGGAGGAGGTGACGTTCTCCATGGAGACCCCGTTCACCATGACGATTTGGTCCCCTGTCCTGCGGGGCGGGACGGCGGGTCTCAGAGACGCGGCCTCACAGGCCTCGAACCAGGCCCCCAGGGCGGTGGGTGGGGAGGGGCCCTGGCACCTCTGGGTCTACAACGCCCGGTTCTAAGTCTTTTTTTTTTCTGAGACAGAGTCTCACTCTGTTGCCCGGGCTAGAGTGAGTGCCGTGGCGTCAGCCTCGCTCACAGCAACCTCACACTCCTGGGCTCCAGCGATCCTCCTGCCTCAGCCTCCCGAGTAGCTGGGACTACAGGCATGCGCCACCATGCCCGGCTCATGTTTTTTGTATGTATATATATATTTTTAGTTGTCCAGCTAATTTCTTTCTATTTTTTAGTAGAGACGGGGTCTCGCTCTTCCTCAGGCTGATCTCAAACTCCTGAGCTCAAACGATCCCCCCCCCCGCCTCAGTCTCCCAGAATGCTAGGATGACAAGCCTGAGCCACCGCGCCCGGCCCCTGGTTCTAATTCATCTGTGTCCCCAGGTTCACAAAGGCAGTTATCCCAAGTCACCCCCTTCTGTTTTCTGTCCCCCCCTGCAGCCTGTGTTTCATATTCTCTCTCCCTCCCTCTCTGGCTCTGAGCCTGGTCTCCACGGCTGGGCTGGGCGAAGCCGTACCGCCCATCAGCCACTCAGGGCCCAGAGCCATTTTCCCACATAATTCCCAGGAGCCTCCCTGTCCCGCCAAGGGCCCAGAATGCTGGGTCTCCTCCTGCAAAAAAAAAAAAAAAAGGTTTCCAGTATTTCATGTTCCAGGAGGGCCCTGGGGCCACTCTGACCCCAAGAATTGCCAGGAAGGACAAGGAAGTGCCTTAGGGCAAAGGCCAAGTTGGTGACAGCCCTGCAGCCAGCTCCAGCCCTGTGTTGACAGTGCCGGAAGGTGCCCGGCACGCTGCAGCCTCCTAGCCTTGCCCACGCAGGCCCCCCACCCCCCGCCCGCCGCGACACCTACCGCAGCCGGCCGTCAGCCGGGCCCCCGGCCACCACGTCCGACACGACCACAGAGCCACTGGGCCTGTCCCGGCCTCCAGAGATGGCAATCCCGAAGCCCCGGCGGGGGTCCTGCGGGGGGAGGAGAGGCGGAAGGGCTCTTCTTTCCCCTCCTTGGAGCTGGGCCAGGCCGCCACGCCCTCAGCGCCCAGGCAGGGTGGGGGCCTCACCTTGCTGACCGTGGCCGTGTGCTGCTCCCAGATGGTCAGCTCCTCCATGTCTGCCACCTGGTCCAGGGGACAGGGGACGGTCAGGAGAGCATTCGGGAGGCCCCAACCCTGAGTGAGGAGTCCGGCTCTGACACACCCCTGGTTGGGGCCTGTGGGCACGTTGCTGCTTTTCTCGGGACCTCAGTTTTTCATCTGCAAAATGGGTCTAAGCCAGCAGTTCTCAAACAGGGCGCATCTGCCCCCCAGGGGACACTGGGCAGGGTCTGGGGGCATTGGTGGTTGTTACGATGGGGTGGGGGAGCTCCCTGCATTGGGCGGCTGGGGGCAGGGACACTGCTCAGCACCTGCAGCCCCCAGGGCAGCCCCTCCCCGAGGGTGATCCGCTCTGAACACGTGCAGTGGTCTGGGAGAGAGGTCCAGATTTAAGTGACCCGAACGGTAGCGGGAGCAGAGAAAAGGCAAGTTCTTGGTCCCTTTCCCTGCGGAAGGTCCAGCTCAGTTTCCTCGGGAGGAGCTAGCCAGGCCTGCCAGGCCCAGCGAGCTCCCTCTGCCCCAGCCACAAGGGGCTGCCCCCCAAGGTCACCTGGTCGCCTCCTCACTGCTCCTCCAACACAAGGCGCGGTCCTGCCCCAGGGCCTTTGCACGGGCTGTGGCCTCTGCCTGGAGCACTTTTCCCCAAATCCCTAACCTTCTTTTGCTCAAATGTCACCTCCTTGGTGAGGTCATCCTGACCACCGTGTTTAGAACTCTAACCCCTCCCCCCACAACAGACCCCCTGAGCCACATGTCGCTGCTGTGGTCTCCTTCACAACTTGCCACCCTGTGATATTTCCTAGGTTTGCCTTTTCTATAGAGAGACGGGGTCTCGCTTTGTCCACCGGGCTGCAGTGCAGCGGCGTCATCACAGCTCACTGCAGCCTCCAACTCCTGGGCTCAAGCCATCCTCCCGCCTCAGCCTCCAGAATAGCTGTGACTACAGGCGCCGCCACCATGCCTGGCCTGCTAGGTTTTCACTTTATCTGTGCACTGCCCATGTCTAGAGTATCAGCCCCAGAGGGCAGAGATGTCTGTCCGGCCTGGGTCACAGCCCCGTCCCCGGTTCCCTTCCTACAACAGCGCCTGGGTCTCAGCGGAGATTCCCCACGGGTCTGCTGAATGAATGAATGAATGAATGAATGAATGAATGAAGCTCTTCCTTCCTGCCAGCTGCGTTACATATTCTATCTCGTTTAACGCACTTGTGGAAGGGGCATTCTGTTATGCCCCTGTTACAGATGAGGAAACTGAGGCACGGGGCGGTGAAGTCACCCGGCGAGGTAGCAGAGCTGAGGGAGGGTGGGGCTGGGGGAGGCGGGGATTCTGTTGCACTGTTATTTTCTCGCTCACGGTGGACAGGACAATGCCAGCCTCCACGGTGGACAGGACAATGCCAGCCTCCAAGAGGCTCAAGGGCAAGGTCACCTGGCCATGCCCCCACCCTCCCCTCCCCGCCCGGCCCAGGTGGGGGCTGCAGCAGTGACTCCTCTTCCCCCAGACCCAGCCGCCCTTCCTGGCTCTCCAGGAATGGGAAGGGGGTGGACAGGCACAAACAGGGGAGGGCAGGGCCCTGCGGCCACCAGGGACAGTGGCCCTCCACTTCCTCCCACACCCAAACCCGATGTCTGCCCCTGGCACCCGGTGGCGGCACCTCTCCCAGCCTCGGTCTCCCCATCTGTAAAATGGGCACCCTTGCCCCGTCTTCCAGGGATAGGGTGCAGGAGGAGGGCGTGAGGTCCACGCACGAAGAAGCAGTAGGAGCTTCCGGAAACGGCAGCAGTTGTTTTTGCGGGAAAACAATGGCGTTTCTCCTTTGCGTCACATGAATAAGTCACGCTCGTCCTTGCCAGCTGCCCGCTGCTGCCAGCGAGTACCCACCCCACCCGTCTAACCCTCACGGTGGCCTCAGCAAGTGGCACCCCTGCTACTCCTACTTTGCAGGGGAGGAAAGGGAGGCCCAGAGAGGTTCAGTCACTGGCCCAGGGTCACACAGCAGCTCGCCCTCTCTCTTAACTGCCAGGGCGCAGCGGCCGCCTGCTTGTTTATTTTTTTCTTCTGAACTAATTTTTCGAAATGGCCTTTTTTTTTTTCTTTCTTGCTTTGATGTTATACTCCGTGTCACTGCAAGGGCCCCCGGAATTCTGATGTCCCGGTTTTATTTTAAGAAACAGCCCTTAGGGAACCAGGGCCCCGGGGAAGGGGAGCGAGCAGGTGGCCCGGGCATGTCCTAGCTCGTGTGGGTTCGTCTCCATGGATACCGGAGCTCTGTCTAAAACCCTCCAAGGCTCCCGCCCCCCACCTCGGGGATTAGGCTTAACCCCCCAGCCCACCTCACCGGGGCACCTCCAGACCTGAGCCCTGCTGTCCCCTGGGTCCCCAACACCCTTCCAGGGACTTCCGCAAGGCTGGGCCCTGCCCAAGCCTGGGTCTTGGCTCAAATGCCACCTCCTCAGGAGGCCCTCGTGGGCTACCCAGCTGACCAATCTTCTCTGGGACCATATCATTCTTCCCCGATTTCTTTATTAGTTTTTTTTTTTTTTTTGAGACAGTCTCACTCTGTTGCCCGGGCTGGAGTGAGTGCCGTGGTGTCAGCCTAGCTCACAGTAACCTCAAACTCCTGGGCTCAAGCGATCCTCCTGCCTCAGCCTCCCGAGTAGCTGGGACTACAGGCATGCGCCACTATGTCCGGCTAATTTTTTTATATATATTTTTAGTTGGCCAATTAATTTCTTTCTATTTTTAGTAGAGACGGAGTCTCACTCTTGCTCTGGCTGGTTTCGAACTCCTGACCTTGAGCAATCCTCCCGCCTCGGCCTCCTAGACAGCTAGGATTACAGGCGTGAGCCACCGCGCCCAGCCTGTTTATTAGTTTTTAAAACCATCTTTATCTGGTCTTTCCTCTGAGGCTGCGAAGGCACAGGGTGTCTTTCTGAGCACTTAAGGCCCAGCTGATTGGCCCATCAGCACCTCCTGGGACTCCTTTTCAGGCGCTCTGGCAAACTCCTATTCAGCCTACACAGCCCTAGTGGCACTGTCTCTTCCTCCACAAAATGAGTCTTTAACTCCTGCCCCTCGTACACACATCTTACATCCCTCCCTCTGGCCTGACTGTGATTACGGGGGCTCTGGGACATCAGAACCCTGCTGTGTCTGCCCCACCCCACACCCTCCCAATGGGCAGTGCTAGGGGCCAGCAAGAACCCCGCTCCCCACCCTGTCCCCACAGGACCAGCCACGTGGGGAAGAGTTTGAGGATTGTGCGAATGCTGAAAATAAAAGGCACTGGGGGTGGGGTGCGGTGGCTCACGTGAGCCTGTAATCCCAGCACTCTGGGAGGCCGAGGTGGGAGGATTGCTTGAGGCCAGGAATTCGAGACCAGCCTAGGCAATATAGTGAGACCCTCATCTCTACAAAAAAAAAAAAAAAAAAAAAGCACTTCAGGAGAAACTCAGCCAGGGGCGTCCTGAGGTCCCAGTCGCCCAGCCCCCCACTGCCCAGGTGAGCGCCGAGAGGCGGGGCCTGGGGCTTTGCCCCGCCCCCCACCGACGGGGACAAGCCCAGAGGGACCCAGAGGGGACAGGCCTCCGCCAGGGCACACAGCTGCGGGGCACGTGGCTCCCAGGTGGCCGGCCCCTCTCCCAGCCCCGCCCCGCCTCCCGGAACAAAGGCAGAGGGGAGGCCGGGGACTCTGAGAGCCTTTCCCCGTCGTCTGGGAGGAGTTGGCGGCGGGAACCAGAACTGCCCGGCGGCGCTCGGGGCGCTGTGGCCCGGGGCAAGCCACCACCCACGCGGGCCCCCCCTTCCCGGCCGTGCCCGAGACCCGGGATGTGGGCTGTGAAGAGCCGGTGGGCGCGGGGGTGGGACGCCAGGCCGGACGGTGGGCCCTGCAGAGACCCCGCGACGGCCCGCCCCGGCCGGCCGGGATGCCGGTCCCAACCGCCGCCTCTGCGGGGCGTGCGCTAGAACAGCTCTGTACACAGTCGGCGCACAATAAATGGTTGAAACAGCTGCGCAGCCCTCCGCGCCTACCAAAGCCGCCCAGCCCGCGAGAGGCACTGCCCACCCTCCCAGCGGCAGCGTGCGCGCGGACCGGCTGCGCACCCCGCGGCCGGCCGGCGTGAACCTCTCTGCTGGGCACCTGCTGTGTACACCGGGCTCCGCAAACACGGCTATCTCCTGTAATCCTCCCCCCACTCTTTAAAGCGACCATCGCCCACTTTGCAGATGAGGTAGGACAGGGGCTCGCTCACCGGCCCAAAGTTACACAGCCGTGGCTGGCAGAAAAATCCGGATTTGAACCCAGGTTGCAGGGTAAGGGAGGCCGACCCCGGGCAGGGGAGGGGGCTTTTGTGGGTCCGGGGGTGGGGTGGGGTGCCCGGGTGCAATTCGCTGTGCAGCCTCGGGCCAGCCACCGCATCCCCCTGGGCCTCAGTTTCCCCATGTGTTACTAGGTATGGGGTGTCCTGAGGTCCTGGGTCCGACTCCCAGACCCCACCTCGCCCGACCCCAGCCCGGTCCCCTCCCCCTGCCGCCTGGGCGGGCTACTCGCCTGGAATCTCACCGCCATGGTCCACCCCGGGGCTCTCCAGCGCCCCTGCCCCACGGGGGGCCTGGAAACAGTCAATCGGCCCCCACCCGGGTTAGGGGGGGACGCAGGGAAGGGTCCCGGCGGGGTGGGGGCCCGGCTGTCGCCCTCCTCCCGCCAGCTCCACCGCTCCCAGCTGCACCTGCCCCTCTTCCTCCTCCAGGTCCCGGCCGGCCCCGCCCCTGCCCAGACCCGCCCCCGAGACGCCTTCGTCCCCTCCCGCCACCTCCTCCCGTCGCAGGCTCCAGGCCCGGGGCGGTCATCCATGCCGGGTGTTCCTTCCAGCCGGGCACCTGCCCGGGCCCGGGACTGGAGACCGGCTGGGCGCGGCCGCAGGGAAGACCCGGCAGGGACTTTCGCCAGGCTCGGAGCGGAGCCTGCGACCTGGAAGGTTTTTCCATCCGCGAAATGGGCGCGTTTTGAGGTTCTTCGGGGAGACCTCCTGGATGAGGGGTTTGTCGAGGGCCAGAGACCTCCAGAACATAGGGCGGGTCCTTCTCAGCCACTTATCTTTGGGAGGTTCACCCCATTTCCTGGAGGGGAAACTGAGGCCCCGGCAGGCCAGGGGCATGGACTTTCTGAAGATGCGCAGCGGCCGCCACGCACTTTGCCCGTGCCCCGGCCTCCGGCACACCTGCACGGGGCGGGGTCCCCAGCTGGGGAGGGCTGGGAAGGGGCAGGGCGGGAGCAGAGGTCGGAGGTCCTTCTGACCCTGCCCAGCCTCGCCCTGGGGGCCCGGGATTCCGAGATCCCCAAGCTAGCAAGGACCGGATCGCGCTAGGAAACCCTATACCTGGGGGTGGGGCAGGGAGAAAGTCACCTGGGTGGGCGGGGCTGGACAAGGCCCCGCCCACACATTCCTTACCATAAAAAAAAAAAAAACAACGCCCTGAGCTTGGCTGTGCCCCACCCCACCCCAAGGTTGAAGGCGCAGGGCCGGGCAGGGAGAGGAGTCCCAGGTCGTGGCTAAGGGGAAGGCAGAGAGGAAACTGTAGCAGGTAAGGAAAGGCTTCTTAAAGGAGGGGGGCATTGCAGCTGGGGTTTTGAAGATTGGTTAAGAGTTTGCTAAGTGAATGAGACACGACTTTTCTCAACCCCTCCCCTGCGATTCTACCTGAAACACTAGTCTAGAGGCCCCTGTCGGCCGGAGTTAACCCCGCAGGGGCCTCCAAAGGCCCCACAAGGCAATAAGCCTTTGCCAAGCCCCTTCTAGGGATCCGCTAGGAACATCAGGATCAGGATCTAATCCCAGCTCTCTCACCTATTTGCTGTGTGACCTCAGGCAAGTTACTTCCCTTCTCTGTGCATCAATTTCCACCTCTGTAATTGGGGAAAATAATATCCCCTACGCCACAGGGTGGGCGGGAGGATTCTAGGGGCCTAGCATAGAAGCGACCTGCTGCCCCATCCTCGCTGTGTGTCCTCATGCAAGCCTCTTCCCACTCTGTGCCTCAGTTTCCCCACCTGTAAATGGGGAAAATAACAGTACCAGCCTCAGGGGATTCAACGAGCGAATGTGCAGGAGATGCCGCCCTAAGCCCCGGCTGGTTAGCGCGGTTATTTTTACCCGAGAGTCCGGCGCAGACATTCCGTGGATGGTGAAGTCGTGCCCGGAGCTGGCCCCGGGCCCGGTGGAGGCCGCACGGCCGGGGCTCCTGCAGCCCCAAGCTCCCTCCAGGACGCCCACTGACCCAAGCTAGAAACGCCCTTAACGGAGCTATGGCTTGCTGAACGCCTACTGTATACCTACCGGCCGCTCAGCCTTTCCCGGTGTGACGTCCGGCCACCAGCAGGTGGCGCAAATAAAAAAGGATTGTAGGTGGAACAAAGTCGAAGTTTTTTGTTTTTTTTTTAAAATAGGTGCGTGTTTGTTTTCATGAGTCACAGGAAAAACCTGGTCCGCACACGACTGGGCTCGCGGCTGCCGTTGCTCAGGAGGAATTGCTGATCGGGTTTGGCAAAGCCGGACAGGTGGCCTGCAGGTGCCCCGAGCTGGTGGCATGACCCTGCCCCACTCGTGAAGAGAGCAAAGCAGAGAGGCCCCCCAAAGCCCCTGTATGAGGGAGGGGGCAGCCGTCCCAGGACACGCAGTCTCCCTCCAGCCGCCCTCCGCTGTGCTCTCATGTTGGCGCCCTGCTCAGGAACACTCAATGTGTACCCCAGCACTCTGGGGGGCCGAGGCGGGAGGATTGCTCGGGGTCAGGGGCTGGAGACCAGCCTGAGCAAGAGTGAGACCCCGCCCCCCATTTCTGCTATAAATAGAAAGTAGCCAAACAACTAAAAATTGAAAAAATCAGCCAGGCATGGTGGCACGTGCCTGTAGTCCCAGCTACTCGGGAGGCTGAGGCAGGAGGATCGCTTGAGCCCAGGAGTTTGAGGTTGCTGTGAGCGAGGCTGACGCCACGGCATTCACTCTAGCCCGGGCAACAGAGTGAGACTCTGCCTCAAAAAAAAAAAAGAAAGAAAGAACACTCAATGGCTCCCTAGTACTGGCCATCGAACATTGTGTTCGAACCCAGGGCTCCGGAGCAGGGCGTGGCCTGGCTGCCCCTCAGGCCTGAGGCCACCACCCCCGCCTCCCGATCCCCACAAGGAATGACAGCTCTGCCTTTCTTCAGTCGCCTCACGGATGCATTCTGCATTTGTTCTTCCGTCCACTCGGTCACTCGCTCAACCCAAACATTTCAGGCCTCCACCAGGCGCCAAGTATTTGACTGACTTTCCACCTGCAACTGCAGGGCGGACCCCAAGCGGAGCGGGCAGTGCCACCTGGCCAGGGGGGCGGGGCAGGGAGGGGGCAGGGGCCCTCCGTCCGGGAAGTATCGCCGGGATGACCCTGCTCGACGCCCTTCTGGGTGCTTGGGGGGAAACTGAGGCCCAGAGAGAGCAGGGCCTGGGCTGAGGTCCCCCAGTGAGCCACGGCCCCCAGGGAGCGAGGGAGCCCTGGGGGGCGCATGCCGGGCCTGGGGTCTTCCGGGTTGAGGTGGCTCCGCTGGGCAGGACCAAGCCGAGATGGTATCTGTGGCCCAACAGGTCTGACCGGAACCCAAGAATGCCCTGAAAGGGCCCTACGGCCCCACGGGGCTCGGCTCACTCTTTAGTATGTATTTAGCACCCTCTGTGTGGGCCGCCTTGAGACTGCGGGGCTCATGACACAGACACAGTGGAAGTCCGGGTCCTCGGCGGAGACAGACAATAATTGAAAAATCACAAGTGTAAATTAAAATGGGCCAGCCAGGGCCCCTTTGGTACCAAGTCTCCAGCAGGGAGACTCTACCCTGGCGGGGGCGCATGGAGGGCTTCCCTGAGGAGGGGGCACCAGAGATGAGAACTGGGTTTCGACAGGTGTGACTTAGCTGAGAGGGATCCAGGCAGGGAACAGTTAGAGCTGCAGGCGGTGCGGGAGGAGCTGTCGGGGGTCTGGGGAAGGGGTTCCAGGCAGGGGCACAGCCCGTGCAAAGGCCCTGGGGCAGGACGTGCCTGGCCTGTGGGAGGCGCAGTGAGGAGGCCCAAGTGGCTGGAACAGAGTGAGGAGAGGGAGGGCGGGCAGGGGACGGGGCGGGTCGTGCAGGGCCTGGAGGGGTGCAGGGAGGACTTGGGCTTTGACCCCGAGGGAAGTGGGAGCCATGGAGGGCTGTGGGCACAGGAGGGACAGGCCCTGACTCGGGTGCTCAAGGCGCCCTCTGGTGGCTGCTGCGGGGAGGACAGACTGCAGGGGTGGGGGGCGGGAGCCGGGGACTAATAAGACAGAGGCGACTGCGTTGGCCCAGGTGGGCGAGGGCAGGGCCAGCTAGGCAGAGGCAGGGCAGGGGACAAGCGTGCAGTTCGGAAGCGGAGGCTGTCTGGCCACGTGGCAGGTGAAGGGAATCCGCTCCCAGGTGGTGTCGGCCTCAGGGAGGCAGGCAGGAAGCTTCCTGGGCTACGACAGGGTGGGGGAGGGCTGGGGCAGCGGGGGACAGAGAAGTCCCTGGGAGGCCACTGGAGCCAGTGCAGACGGCAGCGGGAAGGCTCAGGCCACGCCAGGGACCAGCAAGGTGTCTATTGACTCTTTTTTCTTATTCCTGCTGTGCTGCAGTTATTCTATGTTTTTGTTTGTTTTAATAACTTTGGTACCAAGATATATAATTTTTAAGAGACAGGGTCTCACTCTGTCACCCAGGCTGGAGGGCAGTGGCATCAGCCTACCTCCCTGCAGCCTCCAACTCCTGGGCTCAAGCCATCCTCCTGCTTCAGCCTCCCCAGTAGCTGGGACTACAGGCATGCGCCACCACCATGCCCGGCTAGTTTTTTTAAAAAATTTTTTTGTAGAGATGGGGTCTTGCTGTGTTGTCCAGGCTGGTCTCAAACTCCTGGCTTCAAGTGATCCTCCTGCCTCAGTCTCCCAAAGTGCTGGGGGTTACAGCGTGAGCCACCGTGCCTGGCTTTTATTTTATAATAAGCATTTTATTTTGGACTCATTTTAAATTTACAAGAAAGTACATACAAAGGGAATTCCCTTACAGCCTGACTGGTTCCCCCAGCCACGAGCGGCTTCCGTTATGACCCCTCGAGCCCTTTCCTGCCGCAGGGCCCTGTCCGGGGTCCCGAGTGGCACCTAGCTGTCACGTCTGCTCACGCTCCTTTGGGCTGTGACCGCGTCTGTCCTTCCTCATTCCGTGACCTTAACGGTCTGGACTGGACACGGCTTTGCAGGATGTCCCTCGGGTGGGGCTATCTGAGGCACCCCGCGTGGCTAGACGGGGCTGATGGCTTGCAGGGGCCCCTGGGTGGTTTTGGGGCGCTTGTGTGGAGAGGTGCGGCGGCTGCAGAGACACTCGCGGCCGGGTGACAGGACACGCCCGCTCTGTGGGTCCCCGGGGCAGCCCCGCCTTTGAGGAAGGACAGACTCTGGGTGTGCGTGCTCTGCCGCAAAGCACCTGAGGGCTCAAGAATGTCCCAGGGTTGGCAATGTGGCGGCGTGGGGAGCCTTATGGGGGGCGCTTTGGTGTAGGAGGGCAAGGGAGGTAAGAAGGAGAGCATAGAACCTTCTAGAAGCTTGGACCATAGGATGCAGCTCAGAGGACTCCACAGAGGGTGTTTCCTCCCCCCCCCAAGACTGGGGGACACCCCAGCTCTAGAAGGAAGCTCTGCAGCAGGGGAAAGAGCAGTGCCAGGCACAAATTTTAGCCCCTGCCTCAGTTTCCTCAGCTGTAAAATGGGGG